AGGCAGGAGAACTGTCACAAGTTCAAGGCTAGCCTTAGTTACACAGCGAGACCCTGTCTGGGAAAAAACAACAACAACAACAACAACAACAAGAAGCAATCAAATTAGAAAATGGGCACCCACAGATATTTCACTGAAAAAGACATACAGCATACACATGACAATAAGTACATAAAAAGATTTAACATCATTCATCGATAATACACAAATTAAGCCACAATGCGACATTCATACATCTATGTGAAAGGCTAAAATAAAAAATAATGCATTGCTGGTGGAAATGGAAAATAGTACAAGCACTTTTGAGAAGTACAGCACTTTCTTTCAAACCATAGTCTTACCACCAAACACAAGAACTGTACCCCTAGGAATCTACCCACGAGATGCACTAGGTAACCTCAAAAGTTCACATACAAATGTATATAGCAGCTCTAATCATAATTTTCTAAACTGGAAACAATCAAGATGTCTTTCAATAAGTGAATGGATAAACAGATCATAGTACATCCACAATTGAATATTGTGGCATATCCACTGTGGGATATTATTCAACAATAAAAAGTGAGAGTAAGGGTTATCACACCACATGACGACATGGAGAAACCTTAAATGCATACTGATTAGAGAAGGAAGCCAGTCTGAAAGGACTACATATGATATGATTTCAACTATATGACATTCTTGAAAAGTCAGTACTACAAAGATCAGTGACAAAGTTTTTTTTAAAAAATGAGGGACTGAGCTGGGGATACAGCGCATAGCAGACTGCTGTCTGGCATGCACCCTGGGTTCAATCTTCGCTACCACAAAAAAGGGACAGGATGAATAGGTAGAGCATAGAAGATCTAGGTAGTAAAACTGCCTGATACTGAATGGTAGATACCTAACTGTGCATTTACTATCATAACTCATAGAACTGTACAACACTAAGAGTGATCCTTTGCAAACCATAGACTTTAGTAATATTGCACTGATACTGGCCCACCAATTGTAACAATTTACCACTGTAACACAAGATGTTAGTATAAGGGAAAACTCCTGAGGGACAAAGATACACATGGGAACTATTACCTACTCAATTTTCTATAAATCTAAAACTTATCTTAAAAATAAAGTATTAAATTTTCTTTAAAAATAGTCATAAAGCTGGGCATGGTGGCACATGCCTGCAATCCTAGCACTCAGGAGGCTGAGGCAGGAGGATCATTGCATGTTCAAGACCAGCCTGGGCTACAAAGTGAGCTCAAGGCCAACCTGAACTGCATAGCAAAACCCTGTCTCAAAAAGACAAATAAATAAATAAATAAAAATAGTCATCAAACAAATGCTGCTGGGGCCAGGGATATAGCTCAGCGGCATAAGCGCCTGCCTGGCAAGCACAAGGTCCCAAGTTCGATTACCAGTACCAAAAAAAAGAACTTTAAAACAAATGCTGCTGGGGCTGGGGATTTAGCTCAGCGGCAAAAGCGCCTGCCTGGCAAGCGCAAGGTCGTGAGTTCGGTTCCCGGTACCGGAGAAAAAC